TTCCTACGATATTATCAAGAATTCAAACATTAAAGTAAATACTAGAAATAATTTAAACTAGAAAAAAGTATTAATAATGAGAGTGGATGATATTTCATATTGAAAGTAATATACCTATCACCTTTGATTATTATTCTTCAATTGATGTTATGTTATAAAAGACTGGAAAAAGCTATTCATCATCAAAAAGTAGTATATTTAAGAAATTATTAAGATTTACAGAGATAATTATAACTTCTTTAATCGCAATCTAAGATTCTTAATTACTGATTAACTTAAGCTCAACTTAAATACATCATTTATAAATTACTGAGTTTATGTACACAGCATTTTTAAGTGTTAGAAATATATAATCATTTTTAATTTCAAGCGAATTTTCAAGAAATTAATTAGTGTCTATACAGAAAATAATATCCTTCAAGACTTTCAAAACTCATCAACTGGTTAAATTTAACAATTAAATTAAAGGAGTAAACGAATAAAAAAGTAAACCATATATATACGCAATATTAGATTAACCCCCTAAAATAAATTTGAAGATAAATTTGAAGAAGTAACGAAAGATATTAAAAGTAAAAAAGTAATGATATTAATGATTGGTCCCACATAAAAATGCTTGTGAATATTTACTTATATAAGTAAAATAATTAATCACTAATAAAAAATTCGATAATTATATAAATTTTAGAATTACGTTTTATATAAATATTACAAAATACAGGATGTACCTAAATAAATAAAATTAGTATATTTACTTTAAAAGAAGATGAAGGGGTTTATATTTTAAAAACTCAGTGTGAGCTTAAAAGTTACCTTTTTGGACTAACTTAGACTGGTATTTTTAGAAGCATTTCAATAACTTCATGTAAAATGGTAGTTATAAAAAGAATTAGTCAATTTTCAACCTTATTATGTGTATAAAGAATGATTATTTTGCCATTCCAAAGGTTGATAAATTGTATCCGAAGAGAAACAGACTGAGTAGACAGTACTAGTATGACCATCTAATTTGGCTTTTTATTATCCTGTTTTGACATCCCATAGACGGATAGACTTATCATCACTACCAGAAGCTATTGTATTTCCATCAGGAGAGAAACAGACTGAGTAGACATAATGTTCATGACCATCTAATTTGGCTTTTTATTATCCTGTTTTGACATCCCATAGACGGAT